GCGGGGTGTGCGGGGCGCAAGTGCCAAGCAGGGCACGGCTCTGGCCAGTGCTGCACATTGCAGCAAGGGGTGCAGCCTCTGTGCGGCTGCCTGTATCGCTGGTGCTTCCCTCCACTCACATGCAGCCCCTGCACTCACCCAGTAGGGAGGAAAGCCCCACGTGCTGGAGTCAGGTGCCTTCCTTGCCAGGGCTGTGCAGCACTGGAGAGAAGCCTCAGGTGCTGGAGCCGGCTGTCTTCCCCACAGGGACTGCGCTGCAGGGGAAGGCAGCCCCAGGCAGGGACTGCACGTGAGTGGCAGGGAGCACTGGTGATACAGGCAGCTGCGTGGAGGCCGCACCCCTCACTGTGCTGTGCAGTGCTGGCCAGAGCTGCGCCCTACTGGGCGCCTGCACTCTGAGCACCTTGCCTGCTGGTGCTACCACCACCAGCTGGGGCTGCGCACCAGGGAGGTGGGGCATGTGGGGAGTCCCCACTCCCCCCACTTTCCCTCACACCCACATGCTTCCCACCCCAGCTCTGCGCTGCTGCTGCCCCCTGTCCCCCTGGGCATGGGCTCCACCCTGCCATCAGCCCCATGCTCCGTGCTCCCTCCCAGGTGTAGCCCTGCCTCCGCTGCTTCCCTCCCAGCTGCCTGGAGCCAGCAGGAGACCAGGGAAGCGAGCAGGTCCCAGGGGCTGTGGCAGGAGCAGCCCCACAAGGAAGCTGCATGCTGGTCGGCCAGGCCCTTCCGCTCATAAGGGTGAGAGTGAGGCAATAGGGTATATTTTTGGGGCTGTGTGTACACGTGGGTGCCTTGCTCCCACCCCTGTGGGCAGAAGGGCTGGGCATAGCACAATTTGTTGGCAGCCCCCCAAGGGCTGGATGAAAGTGGTTGGCAGGCCAGATGTGGCTCACAGGCCATATTTTGCCAGCCCCTGCTCTACTCCCTGAATGAAAAGTGCTATGCAAACACACAGACTGGTTACTTTAGATCAGGGGTTGCCAGCCAGGGGTACGCGTATCCCTGGGGGTACTTGAGAAGGCCCTAGGGGGTACATGCAGGTGGGCAGGGATGGAGCGCCGCCACACACTGTTCTGCACTGCCATGCAGGCGCTGCCCACCCGGACATGGGGGGTGACGGAAGCTTATATGCGGTGGTTACCGCCCATCCGGTCATGCGCTACCTCCCCCCCGCACTCAGTGGCCGGGGGTACACTGCTTTGCATCTGGCTGCCTGGGGGTACAATGATTGAAGAAGGTTGAAAACCCTTGTTTTATTTGATAATATATTACAAAAGAAGGCTTTAAGGCTCCTGACAGAAGAATACAGAAAGAAAAGAAATCATACATCCTGTTAATACAGATTCTCTCCTATGTGCTTCACATATAATCTTGTGTCACTGCTTATTCTGGCCTTCAGGCAATTAACTTTAAAGTGATCTGTGCAGTAATAGCCACATCATGTTGTGGGCTCAGGTTTCCAGTACAGTGACATAGTCAAGCAATATAAGGGAATCCCCTTTTATTCACAGATGGATACACTTTAAGCTCCAGCAGTGCAAATCTCCTGCTGATGCTTCTGTCCTTCAACACTGATCCAGAGTACACTTACTCTATGGGCTCAGCCATAACAGGAAGCCCCTGCACTCACAGCAGGGAGGCTGAGCCCTTCGTGGTGGTCCTTCAAAGACAGAGTTAAGGCACATTCCATGAGGGCTCTGTGGGAAGTCCACATGCTGTACCAATGGTTTTACTCCTGGCCAGGGGAAACAGTGTTGCTTTCTCTGCTTGTCAGACCACAGTCTAGGAAGTGGAGCCACAATGCAGAGTCAAATCGCCCATGGCTTGACTGCAGTTATAAATTACTGCAGATAATGTCAGCCTGAAACATTGTTCTCTGCAATGCTGACCCACCCTTTGTGAAATAGGGATATAAAACAGATCTCCACGGCTCATAATCTTCTCTTCTTCTCCCCATCAATTCCTAGCTGTCTCCTTTACTCTGTGGCTTGAGTCACATTCAGTAATCCTCTCACAGCCCAAAGACAACATCAAAACACTCTATATTGTATCAGGAAGTCCTAACTGCTGCTTGGTGAGCTGAAGGCATATTAGACATGATAGCAGAGCACTACTCTGCTCCATCAGAAATCCAGTTAGATACTGGAGCCAGCAATATAATGTGGAATGGATTGGATGCTGTGGACTTCATCTTCAAATAAAAACTCCTGACTATCCCAAGCTCTCCTGCTTCTGAATCTTTTCTTCTTGGCTTTGTACATGAGACAACATGACATAAATGTAGTGTCATACATACCCTCTGGTTGGTGAGTAGGGGCATGTCTTTCAGAGACCTGCCCTGCTGCCATCCCAGACTCCCACAGACCATGTAGAATATGGTATGTGGCCTTCCCTGTTGCTGGCTTCTCTAGTCCTAACTCTATGGTCTGGCCTCTCATCACCCACTGGTGCTGTTACCACTGATGATGTCACTCTCATTGCCAGAAATTCAGTCAGACACTTTTAAAGAACCTTCTGCAAGCTTCATGCCTCCCTGTATTTCCTCAGTTACTATCTGGCATAAAACAGAGGAGAAGCAAGAATTTCTATGGATGACATCTTTTACTGGACCAACTGCAAAGGAGCCATTCCACAGGGGTAATCAAGAGCCTGGAAGGAAGGTGCTGGACTCGCTGGGCTTTATAACAACAGCTCATCAATTCCTCTGACAAAGCAGAAGATGAAGGTTGTACCTGTGAAAGGATAAAATAATCCAGCCAAAGTCTAGCCCTACAGTGGTCATGTAGTAACCCTGGAATACCTCCTTAACTGCCATCATACTTTTGAGTGCTTGAAAATAGGAATGGATATAAGAATGAGTGGGTGCTTCTGTGCATGTGATAGACAGTGCATGCACTGTAAGAGATAGCGTATTTGGGTGCATGATGTGAAGCATGGGGAAGGCAAGTGGATGAGTTTACCTTATGAGGGAGATATTTTTCCGAGGCACCTCTTTGAGGTCGCTGATGGAGGTAGTCTTGCCTGCAAAACAATAGTTGGGATTGTAGTCTGTCATAATGGTGGAGGTACGCAGCTTGCTGAGTTTGTATTCAGGACTCTGTAATTCCATTTGCATGGCTTGCAGCTCCTGGTGCTTCCGGCGATACACTAGAAATAGAGTAGAATGAATTAGTGGCACAGATTGCTCTTTGAACATGAAGGTAATCCCCCACCCCTCCAGTGCAGAATGCCTGTGTTATGAATTCAGTAGAGTCTTCAAAATCCAGTCAATTGAAAAAGTCGAGGCTTTTGGCAGGTCTCTCTCCTTTGACTAAGTACATGCAGGAAATTGGAATTTATTTGATCTCATTTGGTTCAGAAATCAGGCTCAGAACTGGCTCAAGCATAAGACTTGCAGTGTTTCTTGGTTTGAAGGACAGGGTGAAATACACCTATAGTGACCTCTCTGATACAAAATAAACCTGTTTGATCAGAGATGAGTCTGAACTTCAATGTGTAGATCTAGATCCAACTTCCCCCAAGCTCAAAGGTGTTCACATGCAGGGTTTCTGTTTAAATACACCATCCCTATTTCAAGGAGTCCTGAATAGTTTCACTGCATCCCATTGTCACAGTGTTGAGAATGATATTCTAAGTAAAGCAAAGCTTCCCTCCACAGTGAAGCTGTGTAAATAAAAGGACTTCATTTTATGAGACTCCCTCTTGATCCCCTAGCTCTGGACAAAAATAGGAAGGGAATCAAGAGGGAGTGAAAAGAAAGTGTTTACAGTAAATCCACTCATGTAATCAAATGTTTCTAAACCTCAGACATGGTTTGAATTTAGGGTGTGGGGAGCTCTGAGAATCAGTTTTCAAATAAGTTCACCTAGCTTCACACATAAATCATTCACCACAGACAGTCAGGCTGCTAAAGTTACTTTGAAATCATAAATGATACTGAACACAGAAGTTTCCAAAGCAGAGTCCCAATCATGAGTGGGTTAAATCAATAATAGTTTTGCTACTGACTTCCATGCGAGCCAGAATGGCCCCAAAGAGTGTCCATAGTAGACATCATATCCACTCTGATAGATAAGTTGCTCAAGAGCAGAGATGGGGTTAACATGCACTAGAAGCATGGATTGAATGGCCTATCATCAGGCTCTTTCAGTTCTTTCCCTTCACCAAAGCTCTTGCTTTGATTTCTCAGATCTGAGCTCATCCCTGAGATGGGAATGATAGGGATGGTCAGAAAGAAATGGGACTATTCTTGTGCTCCATGAAAAGTAATTAGATCTTTTTTTAAAGGGACACTGTCAGGGCATCTAAAATCAGGCATGTGTGTTACTGATAACTCCTGAAATTCTCAAAACTGAAATAAACTGCACAAACCTAATTTACTACTTGCCATTTTTCCTTTGGGTTTTTTTAAACATTTCACCGAGAGAAAAAAGATTGACTAGACACAATCACTGGCTGTCACACACTATAACAATCCTGATGTGTTTGGAGTCATAATGTAGGCAGGTGGATTGTTCATATAAAAAAAAATAAAACCTTAATTGAAATTCTATAAAAAAGGCCTGGAATATCTACATCTTACTGCCTCATGATTTGTACCACTGGAATATAGACCAAGGTTTTTCAAACTTGGTTTTCAGAACCTAGACACCTAAATCCATATGATGGGTCATTAAAGTAAAAGAGGCTCAATTCTTTCAAGGTGTTCTGTGCCCACAGCTCTCGTTAAAGTCAGTGAAGGTTGGAAGTTGCGCTCTGATGTTTTTCAACCCCAAACCATTCAGTACATCTCTTTAAAGATGCAGTCATAAGAAATATCACATTGCTGTAGTCAGTCACTGTAACGACCTTGCAACCAGCTAGTAGAGAGGAAGACTGTCAGTATTTCGATTAAGGTACCTGGCTTCTCCATTTATACCCGTACTTGACAGCTGCTGAAATATAAAATAACTATAATATATGCTTCAACAAAAAACAAAACAAAACCCTTTCCTTCTTCACTTTTCTTTTAGCGAGGAACAATGTCTTCAAAATTGATCATTTTGGTTAAAAATATTTGTCAAAAACCTCAAAACAACTGAATTCATATTAAAAGAAGATAAAGCTGAAAGCTTGAGTTATAATGCAGTGGTTTGTGGCTCATGTAGGAAGTAGCACATGCTATAACTTTTTGCTGAGCTGAACACATTTTATTTTTGGAGACACTCACCTATCATGATCCCTGAAAAAGCCAGAATGAGGGCAGCAACCAGGGCTGAAGTCACTACAGACAAGACCAAGGAGAGGGGGAGATGAACTCCTGGGCCTGCTGAAAGAGATGCATGAGAGAAAAAAGGGAGTTAGGGATTTAAAAGGCTTGTCCTGATTGTCACCAATTTTTTGCAGTACTTTTTTTCTGCTCCTCCTTCCATTTGCTCCATCTGTTGCTCTTGAGCTGTAGGAGTACCTCTGCCATAAGTGACTCCCAGATTTGTGACCTCCAATGGCTCATTGTTTCACTTTCCTCAATTAAGTTCAAGGCATTAAAACAGATGGTTTTCTATCAGGAAATTAACATGTGCACCCGCTCCATATGAAAACAAGGCCATAAAATCAGGGGTGGGGGAAGGTGGGTGTGCGCAGGGGGAAGAATGCTAAATTGTTGGGGGCTGCCATCAATGCTAAGTCACAGCAAAAACAGGAGGACAGCAGCAGTATATCATCAACTAAATGCATCTCATCTCAGGCAGGAGAAAAATAGAGGATGGTGTGCTTGGAGAACCATACTCTACGGCTACAGGCTCACTTTGGAGCATTTTCCCATCACAGATCAGTCAATTAAAGTTCCTTCAGCATACCCCAGTAAAGAAGTAGCATTATCCCCAGTTTACGGATAGCAGTACTGAAACAAAAAGAGGGTTAGCAACTTTCCCAAGTCAGTGGCAGAGTTGGGAGCAGGGTCTGGGACCTCAGGCGCAGAGTCGATTACTGAGTTGAGATTGCTGGACACAGATACAGAAAGCTAAACCCCATACTGGAGCACTGAGGGTGAACAAGGCAAAAGTACACCAACCAGCTTGCCTCTGCTTTGCATTTGGCTCTCTGAATAAATGTCAGACTGGGATTCCCCTTGCTTTTCCCTTGCTGGGCTCCCTCACTCATTATGCAGGTAGATTTTGCCCATCGCAAGCTGCATTTTAAGATTACGTCCCCCCTCCCTCTGCCTCAACTCCCTGATTGTTTACAGCTGGCTCTCCAGAGACCTGAGCTCAGGGATGACTAGAAAATTCTGGTTGGCTTTGGGATCAAGCGAGTGAATCTTAGTGAATTGCAGACTGGACCTCCTCACTCTGACCTGGGATAGTCAGAGCCAATATAACTAGAGGAGCTGTTTTTATAGGCATGCATTAGACATCCTGCTCACACATCTTGGTCCCTCAGTACTTCATGGCTGCTAAATGTCCCATATGTACAGCAGAGGAAAGCACCAGTGCTGGCTTGCGGACCTCTGATCACTGCAGCACCATCTTTTGGCTGAAAACTGTCTTCTGTGGTTCATTAGAAACAAAGTATCTTTGCAGCAAATGCCTACAGCAAAGGGGATTGTGATCTGTCAGGATCATCTCTGAAAGACAGGCTACCTAGGGCTCTTGTGCCACCGTGCAATGCAAATTAGAGAAGCTTTGATCATGCATAGGGACCTACTTAATCGGAGTTTATCACTGAAACCACAAAATCCAGGATTGTCTGTGAAATCCCATGAAATCAACAAAAAAAATAAAAATAAAAATAAAATGCTGGCTTCTGCAGTGGGAGCCAGTGGTCCTTGCAGCTGGGAGGGGAAGGCGCCAGCTGGTGGGGTGGCACAAAGGGCAGCAAACAAGATTGTCCTGCCTGGGCCTCTCTGCCAATCAGCACTGAGGGGTAGAGCGGCTCAAAGGGCAGCCAGCAATCAAGATAGCAGCCACCCCCTTGTCCCTCCTTCTCCCCAGGCCTCTCTGCCAATCAGCACCGAGGGGTGTGACCACCATGAAACACCTACAAAATCAGCTCTGCAAGCCATGAGCAGGCCACAAAAACCCTTTGTCTCACCTTCACCTTCTTACCTATGCAAGAGACACCATCCTCAGCCAAGTCTGTCCCAGGCTCGCAGAAGCAAATCACTTTCTGAGTCTCCAGATCAACCCGGCACTCATCCAGCTCACAATGACTGCAGTTCAGATGCAACTTAATATCCACCTCTCCATGCCCCTCTGTCACTAGGGATTGGATGAAAGAAACTGAGTTTACTACTGTAATGATAGTCCCAAGGCTTTACCCAGACTGTGACAAGACTGCTGCCAGATGGGGTGGTGAAGGTGCAAGTACAGAAGAGCCAGGTGCCATACACAGCTGGTGGGATGGCCCCTGCCTGAAGGAGTTTGCTTTGTCCCCTGCTATTGTGACTCCTATTCAGCTTTCTTTGTTGACTGTACCTTGACATTTGCAATAGGGAAGAGGAGATAGTGGGTAGCTGAGCTAGTAGTTTTCATTTAGAAAAAAGACTCCTCTGCTAAGATGGCCTTGTATCCCTTCACAGCAGCCAGTGTAGGGATGCAGTGCAGGGGATCAGCAGGGGGCTGCAGTGCAGGGGACCAGCCAGGCTGGTGTAAAGGTGGACATCCAGCTTGAGTGAATTCCCTCAGTGCAGCAAGATATCTCGCCAGGGCTGTACTGCCTCTATGGTGGCAGAGCAGGTGCTCTGTGGTAGGCTAAGGCCATGGTGGTGCAGTTATCCACCATCCCTGGTGGTGTAAGACCCCCTGGGGTTATTGGGGGATCAGGGGAACGAACCCCCAATAACCTCAGGTCTTGGGACTTGTCTAGCTTAGGCTTCTGCCATTTGGGCTGTGCAAGTAATTGAGTGTTAGGTTCTCTCCCACCATCTATGTCCTCCCCCACCTCCCCACAAACCGCCACCCCCCCAACAAAACCAACAGGTTTTGGGTTGAATGGAGTCTTCCTTCCTTATTTTCCTCAAACATTTGTAATAAAAGCCAAGGCACTGAAGGACCAGGTTTGGAGAACATGGCTGAAGGAGGAGCTTTCTTGCCTTTTCCCAATTGGCCAGAGGTCAGGAAATTCACCCAGTGTGTAGGAAATAAGGTTCAGTTTCCTGCTTTCCTTATGGAGGTGTAAATCTACATGCCTGCTTCCCAGAAGAGTGTCCAAGCCATTAGGCTATAGGGTATGATAGGACAGATGTATATTCAGTGTCTTTTGCTGATGAGCCTCCATGGAGCAGAAAACTCTTTAAAAAATGCTCTGAGAAAGAGATGGAGACAGAGGGCGTGTGTAGACAACACAAGAGACAGAGCGACAGAGGCAGACAGAGACAGCAAATGGCTATCCCCTGGTGGGTAGGATGCTCACCTGGGAGGTAAGAGACCTCATTTCCACTCTGTTCCTTGCCTGATTCAGAGTGGAGAGCTCACCTAGTCTTTCACCACACAAGAGCATGCCCAAACTAATGGGCTACAGGACATTCTGGCACCAGCCTCCCTCAGTGTCTCCTGCTGACACAGTGCCAGTTTGTATAAAATATTTACAATGTCATTAAGCCAGAGGGAGAATAATGCTCTAACCTGGTGGTTGGGGTGTTGCCCTGGGAAATCGGATGGGGGGGGAGGGGGAGTGTTCAGTTGCTACTTCAGTAAATATATAAGTAATTTACTCATGGTAGAACAGCAAACCTGTCCTTGGATAGCCTTTAGCCTTGCATTTAGGATCCTTCCCTAGCAGGCTGTTCAAACCTCCTCCAGCAAAAGGAGGGGACAGGCTCAGGGTTTCCCACCTTCCGGGTACATGATCTGACGCCCTGGCTACTAAGCGAGACAGAGAACATTCAGGTATCTGGTCAGTCTAGCCCTTTAACTACCTTTGCTTTTATTACAAGTTGGTCCAAAAATGAATCCATTCTGGCATTTCCAAACTGATCTGTCATTTTTCATTTTGGACAATACTGTTGGATGATGCTGATTTGAACTCACAAATAGTTTCTGCTGAATTTTTTGATGAATAAATGCATTTCCCAAAATAATGTCATTCAGCTATACTGCCACTACACAAGGGAAATCAAGATCAAGTCACTGAGTCCAGACTAGGAAGGCTGTGCTAATGCAGTTTACTCCATCCCTGAGCATGGGGGAAGCAGTGCATTTCTCTTCTCCACTGTCACCCTGGGTCTGGCCAGGAGCTTTAATGGTGATGGGCTCAGTGAATAAACATTCCTCATAAGTCCACTCTCACCTTGCAACACAAACAGAAGCAGAACCTATAAATCTCAGACTGAGGGCAGAGGCCTTTTAGATTAGGTAGTCCACACTTTGACAAGAGTAGGAGTTTTTCCTCTAGTATACACTTAAAGGCTTTGTCCAGTTCTATTTTAAGCAACTCAATTGAGGAGGCTTGTACTGCTACTTCTCTTGGGAAGACTACCCCCAGATTAACAGATGTCACAGTTAGGGAATGCTTCCTAATTAGCCTCAAGTTTCTTTTCTTCATTCCCTTTCATCTCATTAGTCCTAGTTATTAGACTTTGGTCTATCCTAAACAATATCTAGCCCTCATTTGTGTTCATAACAACATTACGGTACATCTCCTAAGGATCTTAAAGTGTTTTGCAGATGCAACCTACTGAAAACATAAAGGGAACTCATATAACGGACTGCTGACCAACATGAATACCTTTCAGTGCCGGGGTGTATAAGATACCCATTGGATTAATAAAGGACACACCGTCCTCCCCATCCATCTCGGGGTCATTCTCCGCTGCCGCATTGCCACCTACATCAAATCAGAAGGCACCTTAACATACTCTGGCTCACTAGAACTAAGCTGCAGTTAATTTTTGCAATATGCATGCACATTCATTGTATGAAGCATCCGAATGAGAAAAGGAAATTATTCAGTCCAAATATCCAGCTGGGCAGCTTAATGGATGATGGGAAGGTTTAGTAGATTGTGGTATGGGCTGCCGGCCTTTCACTTCAATAACACGTGGCTCTTAACAAACAGAATTAATCTTTCAGTTCAAGTCCCCAGCAGACCATTGCTCTCTAAGCACAAACATCACCTTTAACCATTCGGATGCTGTGTAAAATAGTCGGACCCTCCTGTGCATTCGTTTGGCCAGCAGGCTGGAAGATGCCAGTGCTTGAGGGCCAGTTCTGCACAGTTGCTGATGAGGATTTGTACTTCACCAGCACAGAGAGTAACAGTCATCTGTTCTCCAGTGTCTCCTTCTCAACCTTTGGCCAGGGTGGTCCACCAGGAATGGGGGACAGAAGGAGTTTGCATGGGAGATGTCCAGGCATGCCTTGGACAATCAGAGGGTCGGTCAGGTAGCATGCATGGACCCCCTGCTTCTCCTCGCCACGCACAATAAAGAGGGGGTTGCTGTCCCCTTTCATCATCCTTGGCAGAGGAGAAAAAGCACAATGCAAAAAACATTCTCCCGTGTGATGCATTCTGTTGGGAAAAAAACTGTTACGCATAACATCATCATCACAGTACATGGGGTCAAGCTAGGTATTCAGGCTAACTGCTTCCCTTTGGGGTTTCCAGTCTACCCTGGCCTTGATTTCAAGCCACTTGGGTTATTGCTAACTATGGGTTAGGACTCAAGATGCAGGGTTGCCCAGGAGGGCTTATTAAGGGATTGTGGTGCCTTTTACTGCATCTTGAAACAAGCTGTGCAGTAGTAACTTGGGGTCACTGACATCTGATGGCTGCCCTGAGGCCTACTGGCCATGGATTAGCAACCTCAGTTAAGTTCATTGTAAACTAAAACCATCACCAAAGTTATTATAATCAGCCTCCTTGTTGGCAGTCTTAGCACTGGGCCCAAGAACTGGACGATGGAGGCTGAGCTTCCTGCCTTGCCTCTAGGGCAGAGCTTTCCAAACTGTGTGCCGCGACACATTAGTGTGTCGGTGGCAGTGTGTAGGTGTGTCGCGCGAAATGCAGAAAATTTTGCGGAAGGGCACCGCGAAGCTCCCTTACTTGCGTCTGCTTCCCTTGGCCCCTCCCCCGGAACTGAATTACTGTGTCGCGAAATGATGCATGTCTAAAAAGTGTGTCACCAACATGAAAAGTTTGGAAAGCTCTGCTCTAGGGGCTATCCGTCCAGGGATGAGGCATGCTGGCAGTAGGGCAGGGCAGAGGAAGTTTGCATTGCCACTCCGCATGCTGACTCTCTCTTAGGTGTATGGCTTGCTTGCCAGCCTCCATGGCAAAGGCTCCCAAGGACAGGTGCAGACAACATGACTGCAAAGCTGATGGCTGATACTTTTTCACTATCCCAAGCAAGAGTGAAAGGGCTTGGCTATTTATCACAATTCAAGAACCATGGCAGGATCTTGATGGTGTCATTTCCAGACTGCAAAGCCAAGATTCCAGCTGAAGAACTGACATCTGGCTATTTGCTTAAAAAGCTAAATACCATATATTCACACAGAGCTAGATGCAACACAGCAACATCCTATTAAACAACAGTCATATATAGATATATACCAGTGATAAGAGAATTTCTGATCACTAAAGGAGGGGAAGGGACACCTTGAACAGGAAGCCACTTTACCTATATATCCTCCGCCTCCTCCACCTGAGGAGCACCCCCCTCCACCCCCTCCGAAACCCCCTCTTGTCTCCCACCCCCACTTCTTCGTGGCCTGGGGGCAGGATCTTCCTCCAGTAGCACCTTCCAGCAAGGACTTTCCTGACCACAGGAAGGAAGTGTTATCATTCCAGCCACCTCCACCACCTGCAGTTAAGAGGAAAGAAAACAACCCAGCTATGTTTCTGTTACATCTGGAAAACATATACATCAGCAGAGTGAATACTCATTCAAAATCCCTCAGCAGCAGGTAGACCATCATATAGTGCCATTAAAGCTGGGGATGGGAATCAGGATTCCTGGGTTCTATTCAAAGTTCTGCCACTAATGTGCTGTCTGACTTTTTACCACAGGGGCTCTCTGCCTCTTTCCACTTGTCTGCGAAGAGAACAACATAGTAACAAAACCAGGACATAAAATAAGTATTTTCTATGAAAAATGTTGGGATTTTTTTAGACCATTTCCTGCTTTTCAAGAGAAACTAGACACCAAGCTTTTTTGGTTTTTGAAAAGGGAATTTAATTTTTTTTTTCATAAAACCAGAACATTTTTTAAAGAAATGATGTTTTTTCCATGACAAAGATCATTTTTCTTCAAAAAAAAAGTTTTGGCTGATAGTGCTTAGCCAGCTCACAGTGCAACGTGTTGTTGCCCTCCATTGGATGTTCAGTTCTGGTTGGCAGATGGGTGACATTTAACGGAGAATACATACGCACTGCACAGTTCATGTGGCTCAGACGCCAAAGGCAGTATAGCACTGATCTCTATGAGGGCCAATTTACCATGCTTCTTGGTCAGAGATAGACTGGGTAGTCCTACACTGCACTGGTTTGGGTGGACGTGCCCACACAATCATCTTTATCTGGAGTGGAGGGACTAGGGCTTTGCAAGATTTAATCTGAATAATTTTTGCTGCAAAAAGACTTTGAAAGATCTCAGCCTTGTCCTGATGTGGAAATCACCCACATTTTTTGTCCTACAGGAAAACTGCTTACCATCCAGTTCAACAGACAATTCATGCAACAATGCCTTGACCCTCATGGAAGGGCTTGTTCGGTCTTTGGTGTCTTTGGGGTGGGTACATTAAGCTGATGCCTGCCTCAGCCAGGGGAAGGCTGTTAAGCAGCTATGCTAGAGGACTGCCAGCACAATTTTCATGAAGTGTCCACTAGAAATTTCATCCCTATGGTGGCTGTAGCTTGGGAGAATCTCACATTTGCCTGGCAAGCATTTTCTGAACAAAGTAAACCTTCCTTACCTGCAGCTCCTGAATTTCCATTCAGACCTGGAACTGAAGAATCATTCTCCAGCCTTTCTGGATGAAACGTGTCTGTTTTGGCCCTGTAAGCCCTGCCACCACCTCCTGCCGCAATTAGCAAGGGAACTGGCTCTCCATTCTCCATCTTAATTGAGAAATGAAGCTGGGGTTTAGGCTGTCAGACATGCAAATAAAAGTTCATCCCACAGGCTAGTTACTGCTATGTACTAAGCAAGCCCCCAGGACTGCTCAGCAGTCCAAATTACCATTGCATTATTTATGTATCTGCCTCCTAAAGATTAATGAATGCCCTAGTCCCACTACGTACTGTAATGGAAAACAGCAGACTCAACTGCCTTATGTATTGTACACCCCAGTGCTGATGGCTCCTGTAAAGCATGTAATGTTTTTTTATGATGGAGTGCATTGCTCTATGGTGCGCTGCTCTGTGCAGTAGAGCACAGTGGTGCCAGCAGTCACATATACCATACTGGGCACGCTTGATTGTGCAGATTTACTGTTACATGATGCACGCTGATTTGAAGCATACTGAGAACACCAGAAGCTGTGGTTTCAAATGCATGTTGATAGACTTTGCCAGCCTTTATCACAATATGAGCAACCTGTGATACAGCTCACTGGATTTTAGATACAGGCTGTGCCTACAGCAGACAGAAAAAGTTGATCCCAAATGTTCCACCACAGAATTCAAAGACTACAGCCAGGGCTCTATATAGTCTGCAATTCCACAGCTGCATAAACTGCTGTGGAGTTTGCGCCTGTGGCAGGAATAAGACTCCAAAATTGTGGCTTTCATTTAAAACAAGTAGCATAAGCCCTTACAGTTATGCAGAGAACCTTTTACATGTGAGCAGTGTGAAGTGAAGTGGCACTGTCTGTATTGGAAGACAGTCTTAGCAAAGCTCTAAGAAGTGTGAACAGCCTCTCATTTCAGTGAGGGGAGCAAGTTCTCTCTGAATGCACAGCCATGCACTGTATATATAAGTTTGATCAAAGTTCACTTTAAGGCTCCTTTACAGCCTCCAGATGGGAACAGGAATCAGGCCGACAGCACTTTTGTTGTTCCAAGGTGGGATGGAAGGGACTCTTAATAAACAGTAGAGTGCTTTCATAGTGAAGGCTGTAGCAGCATGCACTACATTTATAGAATAACGTATAATGACTGTGCTCCCATACCTTAAATATGTAAGTTGCTCCTCCACCTCCTCCACCTCCTCCAGCCCATTCACTGACACTTTTGTTCACCCGAATCTCTTCTTCAATCACATTATTTTCTCCAATGCAGACTTTCTGTATAACGTGGTTCGTCTGCAGACAGAAGAGCAAATCCAAGTTCAGATTAGGGGGATGGACAAACATACTTTTTACCTAATTCAAAGGCGGATGGGGAGCTGCCAACTGGGAGCAGGAATCAGCTGTTACGATGCAACACTTACCTGTGCACGGTCCTGTAGATAAACATATGAGCGAAATCACCCTAACTTTATCCCTAAATGAAAGGGGTTAAAGTCTTCCTAGGCTTGTATCCCTACAGAATCATGCAAATGTAACATCTACCTTGTATCACTGGATGTGGAAACCTTCCATATCCACCTGTACCTCAGGAGTCTCCATGCTGTTGTACACACTAAACTAAGCTCATCAGCTACAAAAGCCTCACATTGCTTTCTCCTCAATATTTGCATATGAATTATCCAATCCAGCTTCCAGCAAAATTAATATGAACCAAAAATGACAAAACTATTGGAGGAGAATCCTACCCTTGGCTCTGCTATTGCTATTGGCCAAAGTCATTTGCTTCTTTTTTAACTGAATAATTTTGAAGTGAATTCAGTCAATTTAAAAAAGTGCCCAGCAGAGAGCAGACAGCTGCAGGATCTGATATCCTGTATTTATCCACAGATGAGAGAGGAGCCACCCCATGCCGGCCTTCTTAGCTTTCACCTAGTGTTTCTGGCCCATAGATCTCAGTGGGCTTTACAACAGAAGATACCGCCTGCATTGTACAAATAGAGAAATGGAGACACTTATGGCTGATGTGACTTACAGTGGCAGAGCCAGGAATAAAACCCAAGTTTCCATGTCCAGCGTCCTATTCAGTAGACCATGCTGCTTGTGTGCTTCACTCCTAACTAGAGTATGGCTAGTCCTGGTCTAGTTCATATTCCTGATGTATGTATGTCTATGCTGCATACAAAGACATGACTGCAGCTCATGTAATCCTAGCTAAGCTAGCTTTAAACTAGCTAGCTCAGGAGCAGTAGCAATGCAGCCATGGGAACACAGCATGGGTTAACCACATCCACAGTTGTCTACTATCCTGAGCAGGTTTTGCAGTCCACATTAAACTCTGTGCTACCACAGCTTGTGTGCTAGAAGTAGGGTAGGCCACTGCCACAGGCAACACGGCAGCCTGTGCTGCCCCATGCACCACCGATACCCATGACACAGAGCTGCCCTGTTACACCTCTGGCTGGCAGCACCCAGTGTAGCCTGGTCAGGTGCATCTGCAGGGTAGGCAATAGCCTCAGAGTGACAAAGCTTTCATGTCTCATGAAATGTTTGTTCCCTGTCCCCCAGCCCCACCCCACTACTGGTTAGTGCCAAATGCAGAGATGGATCCCCATCTACCATGAGAAAATCCACTAGGGAATCCTCTGAGTCCTGTAACTCATTTCAAACAGACAAATGGATAGTTTTGACTACCGTCCCAATAAACTGATCCTGAGCCAATGACCTGAAAGCAACAAAGCAGTAGTTGGGTGACTACTCATGCAAGCTGTTCACTTTGCTCTTATCTCATTGTCTGACTGAAGTCAATCAGAGCAGCTCAAGTGTTCCAGGGGAGCAGGGTTTAGCTCTGGGTATTTCATTTGGTGCCAATCTGGCCTCTAGCTCATGCTAATTTCATCTGGATGCCCCTTATGTCACTCTCAGTCTCTCTCATTATTTATACTTGCAAGTATCCGTGATTATTATCTGGCAAAGTACAACCCTCCCTGTTTCTTCCCCTTCTTCACACACAAGTGTTTTGCTGTGGGAGAAGACCTTGATGTAAACCCCTTCCCAAATTAGAACTGAAGTGTTTTGTTGTTCATAAAATGGACCCTAGAAGTTGCCAACTGTGGACCACCAGGAAAGGATTTGATTTAGAGTTTGGGAGGGAATGATTAATAAAATGATGAAGTTCAATGACCCAGAGAAACCACTAGATTAACAACTGGATTAAAAAAAAAACAACCCAAACCTTCATGGCAAAGACATAACTGATTACAACCCAATCAAGTAAAAGTCCCTTCCACAAGTCAATGCAATCTCTTTGCCTCAATGAAAGTATTACATTAGCACTCAATAAATTCTCACTAAGATTACCATGACCTGTAATTTAATGAGTCCATATATTATATTGAGCTGGAATGTCTTGATCATAGACGCTAAATGAAAATCTGAGTTAGGACATTTCTCACTCCAAAGGGACTTCATATTAACTGTGTATCGGTGTGGGGATTACTCCAATTTTATTATTTTCTCCAATGTTTGGCTCTGAAAAGTCCTCTTTTATTGTCTACACTTTCCTACATTTCCCTGTTTAAGGCAGTAAGGCCTTTTTCTTGCACGCTGACTGTGGAACAAGTGACACAGCTAAGAAATCTATGGAATGCTAATGTCTGGTGCAAGCCCCACAGTAAAATTTCCTGAGTTACTTTGCCTCCTCAAGGGGCTATCATTGAAAGAAAAGAATATAAAAAATTATATTAGCTACGGCAGCTATTAATAGTGATTATGGAGGTGAGGCCTGTCTTGTAAGCAGTTTGTAGTAATGCTTAACAACAGGGGAATCTGGATTGATTCAGCAGTAGTTCACTTAACCTCTTCCACACATGCACAAAGCATAAGGAAATGGGTTTTGTGTGGCAATCAGCATAGGCTTTCAGGGACTTGCATCAAAGATGAGGATCAGGGTGGGGTGAAATGGGGAGAGGGAAACTTCTGTGAGGTCAGAGAGTTTTCCCCCCCAAGTTGTTATGCTGGAGAAAGGATGGAGAAGTTGCCCTCCCCTTTCTGCAGAATATCAGAGCTTCTCTGAGAAACTGCACATCCAATGAGATCTGTCACCTTTATTTGTACTGACTGTTTGGTGTCCCCTGTCAGGACTCCTCCTTTGATGGTAAGCCCCTACCACTAATACTGTGCCTATTGTTTGAACCACCAAAGCCAAATTCCCTAAAGTAAAATTGCATTAATATGTAAAGATTTCAGTGTCAGAAAAAATTCAAGGAGAAACGAAGGTGGCATCACTTACACTGGGGCAGGCATCTTCTCCTTGCTGTCCTACCAAGATGTACAGGGCATCATCTTTTTGAAGGTCAAAAATCCCCAGCACAGACACACCGTGGGATCTCATCATGGTATTCTTTCCTCCTTTCCCACCAGCTGCTCCATAGCCTGAGATGCTGCAGTGGAAAGAAAGCAAAAGCTTAACACCACATTGCTTCAAATGGGTGAAAAAGCAAGTAGCTTCTGAAATTTGTCAGAAGAACTACAGGAACTATGAGTAGAAAAGATCTGGTCCTTTCCCTTGCCTGCACATGCAACGACAGAGTTTGCTATTATGAATGTCAGCCAGCTATTATTATCCGTATTGTCATAGCACCCAGCTGGGGATCAGGGATGCATTGTAAGTTTTACAGGAATGAATAACAAAAGATGTTATGCTGGGAGTTTAGCTACTTCCAAAGTCTCCTTTGGAAAATAGGATTGATAACTCTAAAGTCCTTTGCTTTGGCATGGAACAGATGCAGCCAGAGTAGGATAGGAACAGTTCAGTTTATCTCCAGGGTGAAAAGAACTGATGGGCAGCTGAGACAGTTTCTGCCTCCAAACCCTAGACTATATACCCTCTGAGATCTTGAGAGACAGAGAGATAAAAAAATGGAAGAGCAGAGGAACAGGGGCCAAAGACCACTGTTTTCATGAGACTGCCTAGCAGGAGTCTTGAGGAAGCTGATAATGAAATGGTGGCAGATGTCAGGGGCTGCAGGGAAGGCCATACCAGCAGCACCAAGATATGTAAAAAGGCAAGAGGAGCATAGGATAGTGGAGAGACATGGTACTAGCTGAAGGAAGTCCATAGGTGGTTTTAAAACAAGGAAGGCAAAGCCGTCTGATTTTTACTTGGCATGGAACCCACATCCACACAATGCAGCTCCCTGTTTCTGGCTGGACCCTGCAGCGAGGTTGGTGAGCCTGCAGCCTCAGCGAAGGTGGCAGCAGTTTTCCGATCAAGCAGCAGAGGCTCACGCCTTCAGAATCAGAAGTCCCAGGTGTGCTTCCCCTGGTTACCACCCACGCAAAGTTTCGGTGTTTCAATTCTATCCCTTAGGGCTGCCTCCTTTTATGCTAAGAAATAACAAGGACCTCCACAGTAGCTGAATATCAGATTAAGCCACACTTCTCTATGGGAGACAGGTATGAATTATAATCCCCTGTTTACCAGTGGCAAAACTGGGACACAGAGAACCCAGTTTAGATATGGTGTGAGTGAGAGAGCCTCTACTGACTGCAGTAATATTAAAGCAATTTACCGCAAGGCCGAATTTCAACCCAACACATTTACATGACTTGCTCACGGAGGCAGAGGAAAACAAGCTGGAAAGTCTCGTTCCTGGCACTGACAAGTAAGCCAGCCCTTCCTCTATGTACTTCATTTGGGAAGGAGAATTGGCTTCCTTTAATCCCCGTTCCTCCAAGTTTGTGTCTGCGCTTGGTTTAGCACAGCACTGCATGTAAACAGGTTATGAATGATGCTGAACTGCAGCGCACTCGTCGCAGCAGTATCCTGCAGTAGGACTGCTCCCTACAAGAACAACTTATTCTGCCTGGGTTCTCATTTTAATGACTAGGGCGTATGCTGGGCTTTGTGGTAGTTTGTATGGAGACGTGACAACGCCAACATGATCATGGTGCACTGTCTCATAAATCATGTTATGTCTCTGGAATGTGATATACATGTCTGTCTTCATAACTAAACCAATCATTCCTCTGTAAGGTTGCAATAGAACTAGACTGAAATGGATAGATACAGTATAGGGACCCTCAAACAGCTGCTGCATGAACTAGGAGCTAATATAGACCCAATTTGCTGTTGCATGCTGTAACAGCTCATGAGAGACACTATCAAGCAAGGCAAGCTGGCAGGGCTAATTGGCTGCAATTAGAAGTTGTATTTTTCAACATTCAGTAGATTTTGCACATAAGGGATAAAATCAGTGAATGCAAGAGATCCCATTTTTGGTTCAATCGCAAGCTACAGGTGAATGCGAGTGGTATACATAGTGTCCGGGTCACACCCCATTCATCGAAGGAGCTTGCTGCTACTTAAGCACGTAGGTAATTTATTCTTTAATTTATAGCAAGGATCTGTGCACCCATTCAGAGAAATCTATATTACAGGGTTGAATCGTACTAGACAGGCGCAGAGCAGAGTGGAGTAGAGTAGACTCACATTCCCTTCCCTTCTTTCAATTTGTTTCTCTCTCATTATCATATCACGACTTGTAGTCATTGAAGAGGAAAGGTTCCTTGGGGGTTGGGATTAGGGCAGAATATTGGCTCAGGAAAGTGGGGACAGAGAAGTCGTTTTACTTTTTGAAATGCTCTTGACTCCACACTAGAGACGCACACATACTTGACAACTGCCGGGGTAAGTAGCCTTTGGGTCAGAGAAATGCCCCTGAACTTCCACCCAGATATGGCCAAGTTAGAAACATCTAAAAACCATCAGGCTGGAGGAAGTTACAATTTTGATGGAGGCAGATCATGGGGAGAGAGGGGGCTCTCACCTGTAAGTGTTGGTGGCTGGCACTCTCCAGATCTGGACTCCCTGGAGAATCCCTTCAGCCCCCACAATCACACTGAGGTTGGAGTTCCTGTATGCATTGTTGCACTGGCTCTGAGTGGGTCCGTAGGGTCCGCTGGCACCACACGTCGTGAACAACCAATGATCTGAAACGAGATCATGTCCAAAACATTCTCTAAAGATGTGAGGGTCCCAATGTTTTCTTTGCTTTCTCCTCATGGAACTGGGGCCAAGAAGAGAATTTGCATGCTCTGGTGCTAAGACACAATGGTCAACTTTCCACAACCCTCCTCGTCATCCTGGACATCACAGCAATAGCACAGACATAGTTATTTTTCATCTGCAGCTCTTCAAAACCTTCAGCAATTTGAGTCCTGGTTCTCTTTTACTGAGGCACCAGAGGGAGACAATCAACTTACTTAAGGTCACACAACAGGTCGATACCACAAGGAGAGCGAGAGAGATAGAGAGAGAGAGAACCCTGCTCTCTTGGGTCCCAAACTAATGTTTTCCCTGCCGTGATTAACGTGCGATCCACTAATGAGCAATTTACCATTCTTCTGTGTTACTAGCAATCATTGAAAAATAGCAAAGACCAGTTTAGATGTTTATTTTAAACAGTGGCATAATTAGGGAGGAGTGATTGAGTTAGGTGCCCCATATGCTGACTTGTGGGGAGGGAGTGGAGGGAAGGACAGAATAAATGATCAGAGGGCAAGAGAACAGGCCTTATGAAGAGAGGCTGAGAGCCATGGGACTCTTCAGCCTGGAAAAGCACAGGCTCAGGGGGGACCTGGTAGCAGCCTATAAGTACGTCAGGGGTGTGCATCAGGAACTGGGGAAACGCCTGTTCACCAGAGCGCCCAAGGGATGACAAGGTCCAACTGTCACACACTCCTCCAAGACCATTTTAGGCTGGACATAAGGAAAAATTTCTTTACTGTCCAAGTCCCCAAGGCCTGGAACAGACTGCCCCAAGAAGTGATGAAAGCACCTACTCTGGACTCTTTTAAGAAACATTTGGACGCTTATCTTGCTGGGATCCTTTGACCCCAGCTGACTTCCTGCCCTTGGGGAGGGGACTGGACTCGGTCTTCCAAGGTCCCTTCCAGCCCTAATGTCTATGAAATCTATGACATTTATAAATGGCTGCCTCTGTAGCTGTGTGATTGTGTCAACAGCAACGGCAGCAACTGGAAGTCACTGCTGCCCTGCCCTGTGTGTGGCAGCTGCCTTGGATGGCCATCCGTCTCATTATGCCTCTGATTTGAAAAGAACATATGTAGCACCATCACAATGATTAGCATATAAAGGACAACGCTAGATAGTTTTGGATAACTGAGGGGGTTTTCCATGTAATCAGTGCCTAAGAGGCCGTGGCTCAGTGTGCATAGATTTGTAGATCTGTATAGCAGAACCTTGCTAATTTTTGCTTTGGTATTCTGCACATCAAACTACAGCCCCTTCTTACTTTCTGCAGAGTCACCATCAGAGACAAGAGTCATACAGCTACCATGTGCCATTAGCAGTCATTATTAAAAACATGACAGATTTAAAATATTTTCTTATGAAAAGCAGTAACTGGTTGATGCAAGTGCCTCGGTTTTCCTCTATTTGGGATAACAATCATCATCAGAGGCATAGTGGGGTATGTCAGCACCCTAGGAGTGGGGGGAAGGAGGTGCTGTGCTGAGTGCTGGGGAGTGGTTGCAGGGCAGAATCTTACCTGCCATGGCCCAGGCTTCCTGCATTTTGGTTGCTGCCATGGCACTGGCCCGGGCTGCTGCAGATGCAGGTGGGCTCCTACACATCTGCTGTAGCAACTCTGTGGCACGGGCTGTCCAGAGGGCCTCTGTTCTGGTGCTCCCTCTAAATCAGTGTCCTGGACTGGTACCCATTCTATGGAAAGACTAAATTCCCTAACATCCATAAAATGATGAGATCTTCAAATAAAACAGGGCAAAAATGACTACAGGTACTCCTCACTTAACGACCTACCTGTTTAACAACCGCGCGGACTTATGACCAGCGAGAACTGGTCGTAAGTACGAGAACTTTGGTCGTGGAAACGGCAGCGCGACATCTCAAGCCAAGGCACGCAGTATCAAGGGGTGGCTCCTCGCTTATCGACCAATTCGCTTAACGACTTAGTCGCAGGAATGGAACTCGGTCGTTAAGTGAGGAGTGCCTGTATTTATTTGGAACATCTCTTTGGGGTTTGATAAGGAAGGGATCATGATACAGTGTGAAAGGTCTCTCTATTAATATAACCCTTCAGTGTAACCCTTACAGTGACACCCTTCAGTGTCAGTGTAAGCATCTGAGCACCTCACACTTCACAGACTTTCTCCTTAGGACATCTGTTTGGGGGCAGGTGAGGTTATCTCTGGTGTGCAAGTGAGAAACTGGGTCACAGGATAGAGAAGTGATTTTCAACCAAGGTGCCAGGGCACCCAGGGGTGCCTCAAGATCTTTTGAAGGGTGAAACAAGGTGTAAAGAAATAAACCTGGAGTGAGGAGATGAGCAGAGGCTCAGGCCCTTCCCTGCCAGCAGTGCTCAGTCCCTCTGCAAGGAGACACACGTTATAATAAGGTGGTTACTTTTTAGAATGGGGAACTGCCCAATTCACAAAAGTTATGGAGAAATGCCTAGAGACTAAAAAGTTTAAAAGCCACTGGGATTACCCAATAAGGGATTACCCAGTGTTTCACAGGAAGTCTGTGAACAAACGAAGAACTGGACTTGGGTTCCTGGGGCTCCAATGCTCTGTCCACCAGACTACCCTTTCTCTAATTAACCAATGGAGCCTGCTCCAAAACCAGCTGCATCCAATGGGAGTTTCGCATTGTTTTTATTGGGTGTTTGATCAGGGCCCTCAAGAAATAAACTATCCTGTTTCCTGGTGATTGACATAATAATTTGGAGTCTGACACCTGGAAAAAAACACCCCAAACCCTTCCTCTTTAAGAAAGCCCTTCCGCTATAAGCAATACTGACAATATGAGTTGCTCTTTCTATTTGCAAAGTTACACCAACACTTCCTCTCAAAAAGCTGTTACTTCAAGCAGAGATTTGACCCTGAAGAAGTGTCAGAGAGTCGATGAATTCCACGAGGCACTTCACTTGTTATTGAATTTACACAGAAGGTGCTTTGATGCTGCAGGGATGAAGGGCAGTATAAAATTCTAAGATGGCCAGAGAGATGGCTACGAAACCCTCCCCACAAAGCCATAAAAAAAGCAACAAGAACCATCCAAAAATTTGGACCGGGGGAGGGATAAATACGTGTAGACAGACTGTTCGTTAGCTTCCGCACAATGCTTCAATGCTTCTGATCCTTTAAATGCTGATGCTCTTACATCAGAACTATGTTGCGTTCATTAGCTTCATTGCATAAACAAAAAACAGAGAAAAAATAAAACATACGCTAAATAAAATGCTGAGACCCTGTCAGCTGTCAGAGTGACTTAACATTGTAATTTCCCAAAGGGCTAAGCCAGCTGCATAAAAGCATATGTTTAGTAAAACAGGCAGGTGGATGTCTCGGTTTGGAATAATAAGAAACTGTTCTGAAGTCTCTGATGAAAAATCAAATGTGCTCCTGCAGGTAGGAGCAAGTAACCAGCAAAGGAGCTAAAAACTAGAGCAAGGGAGAATTAAAATGGGAAGGTCGAAGGCAATGAAACAATGTCATTTGAGAGAGAGGAAGTCTATAAAATCAAGACGGTTGCGGATAAAGCAAATATGGAACTGTTATTCACCAAGTCCCAGAATACAGAATTAATGGGCACCTACTGAAAGTGACTGGAGACAGGTTTAAAACTAAAAAGGGGAAATCCTTTTTTACATGCTATGTAGGTAACTGTGGAATGCTGCTACAGGAGGTCATCGAGGCAGCTAGCATAACTGGGTCCAAAAGGGATTAGATAAATTCTTGGAGGACAGGTCCACTAGGAGCTTTTAAACAGAACTATCAGGGATGTATCTTCTGCCATTCTTAAAACAATGAAGGCTGATGTCAGAGGGGGAGTATGAGAGGATGGATCATTTCAGACATACCTCATTCACCTACTTTCCTTCCAAAGCATCTACTATTTGCCATTGTTGGAGGCAGGATATAGGGATAGAAGGACCTTCCGTCTCACCCAGTATGACATTTCCTATGTTCTTATGTGGAGGAATATAGGCATGTTTTAAACTTCCACTAACCAACCTGGTTAGTCAAGAATATCCACCTGACATTAATTCAACTCCTAAATTAGCTAGTTATAGACCATGGCAAAATATACAAGCAACAAGTAATATGGCTACATGTGGGATTCACTGCTCCTACTTCCACTGAAGTCCACAAAAGTTAGACATGCTCTGTGTGGAATCAGGCATTCATCCAAAACACTTACTTAAAGCAATCTGTTACCTTGAAAGAGGCACATTGTGGGCCAAATTCCAGTTGCTTTTATACCAGAGAAAAGCTGCAGTAAAATTCCATTGACTTTGGTGGGATTTTCTTTGCCTTTACACTATTACAATTGACATCTGATTCAGTCCTACACCATTCCCACTGTATCTATGACCTGGCAATCGTTACCCAGTGCTAGGACTGACTTATCAGATTTCAGGTTGCAAATTTCCTCCTGTACTGCAAACTGACCTCAGTGTCTAGTAGTTAGGGACCTAGTTAACTTATAGCAAGACAAAGCCATTTTTGTAGCTTTGTCTTGGGGTGAAAAGCCCATTTCGTGGGCATTTTGCAGTAGCCCTGCCCCTTAGCACTGATTGGTGGAAAAGCCTTGGTGGGGGAAAGGGAGAAGGATGAGGCAGCCTCCACTTGACTGCTGGCTACCTTTTGTTTGGTCCCTCCTCTCAGTGCTGACTGATGAAGAGATCCTGGAGGGGGAGGAGGGAGAAGGGGCAGCTGCTAGCTTGTCTGCTGCCCCCTTTCTGCCACCCTGTCAGCTGGCGCCTTCCCCTCAGCCCACCTGGGAAGGAAAGACTTGATAAAAACTTATTTTTATTAGGTTTATTTTTCACAGATTTTATGGGCAACCCAGGATTTTGCGGTTTCCATGAAATCCACAAAACCATGATTTAGGTAGGTCCCTACTAATAGTTGTATGAGCTTATGTGAACTCAAGTAATTTGTGA